TCTAAAACGAAACCCATGACGCATTTCGCCATCACTGGTGCTGAAATGAGGTCCTCAGTAACCTCCATCATATTAACAGAAAACTCGATGCCCTCAGTAGCATCTATCATGTTTGCTTCCATAGGTTCAACATACAGAGCATCAGTCAATTGCAGCGGATCAGCATCCACCTTCATCTGGCCCTTTGCCTTATCTCCAAATTTCAAGCGTCCCTCCTGTATCGCATTTTGGACGAGATCCCTGAAAAGAAAACATTGAGATGTTTTATGACCCAGAAAATTATGGTACTTACAAAAACCTCTCTTTTTCCGCTGCTATAAGGGCGGTGTTTTAGCACCAGGCGGCACTATCATCTGCCCATCTTTTACTAGCAAATCGAAGATTTCATCACATTTCGTGACGTCAAAGGTGTAAGTTTTCTTAGGGAACCTGTCGTTCTTTTCTGATTCGACAAATCCCTTTCCTTGAGGAGGGGCCAGTACTCGACAGGAATATGGAGGACCCTGTTTTAATTTAGCAAGATCGACTTCACTCTCCTCGAAGTAGGGGGACTCTTCGCAGGCCCCTTCGCTACTTTCGTTAAGTTCGAAAAAAGCTACTTTCTTCCCTTTGTTAAATCTTGACTTTTCGTCTTTCAGCCTTTCTAGCTGTCGGACTCTGTCGGCCAATTGGGCCATATCTCTCAGATACTGCGTATCTAATTTCTTCCTAATAGAGTAATCTAAACCTCCTGCTGCCATTTCGACCAACTCATGTTCAGGCACTTGTGTGAAACACCTTGCCTTGAGTAGTCGAAACCTATTGAGGTATTCTTCAATTGGCTCTGAAAACTTACGCTTTACACTGGCCAACTCTTTCAAACTAATCTTTGTCTGGCCCATGTAAAATTGTTCATGGAAGAGTCGTTCTAACTGCGTCTAGTTACATATTGTACTTGGTGGCAAAGTGGTAAACCACGTGAAGGCGTTCTTTGTAAGAGAACTTGGGAAGTATTTTATCCTAAGGCTTTCGTCATTGGCTATCTCCCCAGCCTCAATTATATAGTGTGCTACGTGTTCAACGGTGGACTCCGTTGTGTCCCCTGAAAACTTAGTGAACTTAGGCACCTTAGTCCTAGGGGGAAATTCCGCTCGAAGGATGTAGTCGACTATTGGTGAAGTATAATTTGGCCTAGTAAACCCAGTGTTTAGGCCATTTCGAGTCATGATTCTTTCTACCATCGTAGCCAAATTGTTTTCGACCGCGAGGTTGTTGCGTCTTACTTGCTGGACCACATTGTCTGCATCCTGGTTTCGATTCACCACAACTATTTCTGGGTTTCTCTCGACCTGGACTCTAGGAGTTTCGACAACATAAGGGCCTATTCCTCCCTGGTTCTCTAAATTGGCTTCTGGCGCCACTCTTGGGATTTGTTGTGGAATATTCTCCACAGGGGCTTGGTTTCTTTCTAACGGAGGTACCCCTATAAATTCAGTTAAGCGTGTTAACTGTGTTGCCAGTTGTTGGTTAGCATGAGTTGTGTCTCGAATTAATGGCTGAAAGATCTCGCCCATAGTCTGGGAGAGGGTTTGAACCATCTGTAAGTTACTCTCATCCATCTGCTGCCTCAAACAGGCAACAGACGTATTGGTTAAATTGGGACCTTGAGTCGAGTATCCTAGACTTAAACTCTGAGGGTTTCGACCAATATTTGAACCAGGTCCTGATCCTTGTAAAGGTGACGCCATTGTGTGTTCAGAAAATATTGGGGGCGCATTTTGCAGCCCCTGCATTACAGTCGTTGGCATCCCATACGGGGGATTCCTTGGCAACTGCGAAAAACCAAGAGGGGCAAACTGCCTTGACACTGATGGTCCTGCTATTGGAGTTTGGGGATTCGACACTGGTGGCCAAGTATACTCCAGTACGGGTTGTGTGTAAGGCCTGACTATCGTTGTCCCAGATCCTACTGGGGCGACGGTTTGTTCTGACCTTACGGGAGGCGCTACTTGTTCTCCTGTCGATGGTATAGGCGGTGGGACCATGTTGTTACTGGTCCCTTCGCCAGAACCTTGGACTTGTGGGTTAGGATTGTTTGGCTGGTTCGTTTCCATCGCCATATTCCTAAGGATTGTTCGTCTTTCTTCATTAGCAGCGGTAATTCTACCACTTCTTAGTAACATATAATGTACTTTCTACGAAGATTATTAAGGCTTGTGAATGAGAACTCTTTGATTCTAAATCGCGGGGATATTTAGCACTGTCCCACTGGGTGTGCCATTTTGTTTCCCTTGAAAATCGGAAAACAACCGCTGATCTTCCAAATTTAACTTTGGTGACTCACAGGATCGATCAGATTGATCCTAGGACATGTGCTAAAGTATCCTACGTTTAGAATTAAATTTAAAGTACTTGTAATAATGAATTGGTAAATGTGCTTGTAAAAAAGACTTTGACTGGATATTTTAAAGTGCATGAACTTAAAGAAACGCTATAAAAGACTTGTAAAAAGGCTGCTCGAAAAGGGTAAAAAGTTTAAAGGGAAGAAGGAATTGGAGTAAAAGATGCAGGAAAGATAAAAGGCAAAATGTAACACTTGCACAAGTGGTTCGACAGAGGGAATGTAAATGTTGCTGAAATTGTAAAAGACTTTATTGAAAAATTGGTGATTTTACAAAACGTACATTCTCCGTGAAAATACTCTTTTCTCACACTCGGGTACTTTGAGTAAATTTGACTGGAGTTACTTTGTACAAATGGTAAAACACACCCAGAAATCTGCCTAACAAATCCCTATTTATAATGCTAGTAATTAACCGCTAATAACTTCCTAGTATCTCCTCGATCTAACAAGTGTCATTTGCATGTAACCTCCTGCTCTAGAATTCGCCACGTGTCTTATGAACCAAAACTCCTCCCTCTAATTTTTGAATTTCAAAACAACGTAGCAATGCCATTTGCGGAATTTCGATCGAATGACCTCTGACACGGTCGAAATGCTCATAACTTTAGGTTTCTTAATTTTTCTAAGTTATTTCAACCGTTCAACTTTAGAAAAATTCCTTAGAGGCTGTCGAAACCTCTTTGCTTCATTTAACCTAGACCTTAATTATGTCTTAGTGTTTTAGCAACCCAAGGCAGTGTCAAATTTGGGAGCTAACAGGGGCACCCAAAACAACATCAGCGCCACAGAGAGGAAGCACGTAGAAATCAACTGAGAATTGTTCGAATTGTAGAGAAATGGGAATACCTGCGCAAAAACAATTGTAACCGAGGGTATCGCCATTGCCAACCATGACTTTGAGTGTAGTGGTAGGGACTGAAGGTAGCTCAAGGAATTTGGCGATGCGATCTTGTACGAAGTTGTGTGTGCTACCGCCGTCGATTAGTACTGTGACTGGGTGGTTGGAGATGCGACCATTGAGGCGGATTGTGGAGGCGGTGGTACAGCCAGAAAGGGCATGCAAGCTGATCTGAGCTTCAGTAGTGTAATCAATCGCAATGGTGGAGTTATCCGAATCCTCAAATTGATGGTGATTGTTAAGAAGATCCGGAATGGAATCCGGTGGTTCCTCTGTGATGAAGAGGAAGAAGCGCCCTTTGCATTTGTGTTGAGGGATGAAGGTTTCATCGCAGTTGTAGCAGAGACCCTTTTCCCGTCGTGAAGCCATTTCTTCTGGAGATAATTTTCGATAATTGAGTCGGTTGGGTTTGGGAGTGGCATGTTGTTGTTGTGGGTTGTGGTGAAGAAGATGAAGTCGAGGTAAGTGATTTGGGTTTGAAAAAACGGCGTCGTTCTTCAATCTTATCTTCTTGTAATTTGGCAAGGGCTGTGGCTTGGGTTAAGGTGTAAGGGCGGAGGGCTTGGACTTCCCTGCGAATCTCAGGTGAGAGTCCAGAGATGAAACAACTGAGAAGGAATTGTTGTGGGAGGCCAACGATGCGATTGGCGAGTTTTTCGAATTCGGTGAGGTATTAATTTACGAAGGATTTTTGTGTGAGCTTAAAAAGTGCGCTTGAAGGGTCATCGTAATAGGAAGGTGCGAAACACGTTTCGAGTGCTTGAAGAAATCCGGTCCAGGTGGTGATTTGGTTGTTTCGAAACATCCATTGATACCAACTCAAAGCCGGTCCATCCATATAGAATGAAGTAACTGTGAGTCTTTCAGCTTCTGGTGTTTGATGATAATCGAAGAACTGAGAAATTTTAAAGATCCAGCCTGGAGCATCAGTTCCGTTAAATTTCGGCACGTCAAGTTTCATGCGAGGCATAAGGTAGGTGAGGTTCATGTTGGCTAGTGGTGGTGTGGGTGGTGGTGGGTTAGCGGTGGTGAGGACGACTATTTGTTCAACTATTGCGTCGATTTTGGATGAAAGATCATCCAATCTCTCTGCGTTTGTGGGTCTGGCAGCCATGGGAGGTGAGCAACAAAGGTGAAAGCACCAAATTGTTAGGGATGATCCTTGATTTAGTAGGACAATGGAATCCCCCTTAGAATTTAGAGAGAGAAGAGATTTATAAATTTGTTCTGATGCCTCATTCAAGGAAAGGAATACAATATATATAGATCTTAGCTTGAGATCTAATTATGTTACAATAGCAAATAGCAAATAGAATCTAGTACAACTAATAATAAAGTCTAATACAACTAATGATTATATTTTAGCATAACAATTTTTAGAAGTTTCTTTATTCTTTGACATCTTGTGCAGGTGGCAGTCTCATCTCTTTAGTTTTTAAATTTCTTATGCCTTTTGATGATTCTTTTGGGCCTGCTTGGATCTGCTGTTATTGTTGGATCTTTTATAATGCTGTTGGGTTTTGGTTCTGCAGGTGGGCTAACACGTTTCCTTTTCCAGGTTTCGCTCTAGTATTACACTTCACGAATTTTAGTTACGTGTCACCCAATTTCGAAATTGCGACCCGTTTCCTTTTCCAGGTTTCGCTCTAGTATTGCACAATAGCGTTTCACAAATCTATATCTCCCTCGTTAACCACCACTAACATCGCCGTCGTTGCCATGGAAGGAGGAGGCGGAGGAACGCTCTCGGAAGTTCACCAAAGCGCGAAGAAGCTGTTGCTCAGGTGCCGCGACGGCCTCGAACGCCTTGAGCATCTCGAGCACTCCACCTCTACCTCCGCTGCCGTTGCCGGCGTTGATTCGGAGCTTTCATTTACCTTAAAGAAGGATATTAACCAGATTCAATCCCTCTGCGTCGAGATGGACCGGCTTTGGCGTTCTGTCGCTGCCAAACCTCAGCGCGACCTCTGGAAAAGGTGAACAAATTGAAATCGCGTTGATTCCGATCTTGTCGATTTTTTTTTGTTGCAAATCGCCTCTGTATTCTTAATCTTGGCTATGGTTTATATATTTTGTTTCTGCGATTGATGTTATCGAGCTCCTGAATTGCACTTTTTGATTGGAGTGAATATTGATAAATTCATTTTTCAAATGAACTACTGTCACGATATTGAATTGAGTTTGTTCATATTGTCTAGATGATGATTCAGGGTAAAATGTAGGAAATAATTAGTTTATTGGTGACTTGCGATTTATTGGAGAATTTGAAAGGTTTTAGTGTTTTGAGGGAAACTTAGGGAATGAACTTAGTGCTGTCACAATGTCGGATTGAGTTTATTCATATTGTTTAGATGAATCCTGCCCATGTTAGCTTTGCTATGCTGCCGGTCCCAAGCCTGGATAAAAGGAGAGGGTTGTGTTAGGCAGTCAATAGCTAAAGTAAAACTTTATTGAATATGTATGACATGGATCAACTACTTTAGCGATTTTGATAGAAACATGGTCTTGGATACAACTCCACTTAGTGAGATAAGGTTGATTGTTGTGTTGTTGTTTGGAAGATGATTCAGTGTAAAATGTAGGAAATAATTAGTTCATTGGTGATATTCGGTTTAGTGGAGAATTTGAAAGGTTTTAGTGTGTCTTAAAGATAACTTGGTGCATCATTAGGTTTATTAATGTTGAGGAGACATAGTGTAAATGTGTATGTCATGTCTGTCCAACTGTTGTCCAACATCTCTCGCCTTGGGCAGAGCGAGAATGTCATGTCACGGGAAGGGGTTTTGTTTCCCTCTTAGAATTGTGGTTCGGCACACGTCCTCAAGTCCAACACAATTGGGTTTGGTTTGGTGTGTGGACATAAATTGTGGGTGTTTGATATCAAAAACTCGGTGGCCCAACGGATTTGGATAGACGCTGATACCATCATAAAATTGTGGTTGGGCCCAACACATCTTTACAAAGTTTGTAATGTGGAAAATATACTTTGCTTATAAACATATTTCTAGGTCACATGTCATCCGATATAGAATTCTTTAACAATTTCTATATTGTCTTATTTCTTTTATTGATTCTTACTGATCTCAGAAAAATGTCTTGTGATTTTTTGTTATTATGGTAGTAAGAGATTTTAGCACATTCATGATTTGTTGTGTATGTGTGATATTATTAGTTGCTTTTCTCATGCGTAGTTGTGATTCCTTCTTATTCCCTTAAGTTAAAGGCTCGTTTTAGAAAGATGGATATTGCATGTGCTAACTGAAATGATCATTTTTTGAGCTGTATGAATCATAAATAGCAAGAGCAAGGACAAGTGCTATTGGTGAATGGGAAACAATTGGTTTGTCAATTGATTCTGTTATGTTGTAGCAATAGAGATTTGTCAGCTGTCCATGGTTTTGGTTTCTTAGTTTCTGCCTCTGCTTCTTCATTCTGTTTCAACCCTGTTCATAAATCATACGCAACAATCTACATAATTTTGATTTTCTCCTTGTTGTAAACATCTATTTCCTTTCATTTAAATGAATATTAATGTGTGATCAGACAACATGTTGTAATAATTTCATTGCTTTACTCTATGCCCATTCGTAATGAAGTTGTTTACTTGCATTGAACAAAAAATCTAATTGGTTTATATAATTGATATAAATCTGTTTGTTTTATGTTTCACTTATATTGTTTTTTATATTTATGTTGTCTCTGTTTTATTGCATTTGTACTTAAGAGGGGGTGTTGTATTTTCTTGCGCAGAAAGGTTGAACAAATAGCTGAAGAGGCTGAATCTCTGAAAGAAAGTTTGGATAAATATAACTCAAGGAGTCAGAAACGGTCTAGAGAAGCTAAAGAGAGAGCAGAGCTGCTGGGACGAATGGTATGTCATTGCTACCGTGCTCTATTCAATGGCTCATTGTGTATTTTCCCTCTTGACTAAATAACAATCTCATTTCCAAATGTAGAATGGGGATTCTGCTCATGTTTTGAGAATTTACGATGATGACACACAAGCAATGCACTCAGTTCGCAGTTCTGCCAGGGAGCTTGAAAATGCTAACGCACTCGGGGAAGTTATCCTTTCTTCAATACACAGCCAAAGGGAACGCTTGAAGGTATTTATCTTTTTTTTAGATACTTTCTACGAATGCTTATACTAACGATAATAGTTATGCATTGTTAATTCAGTGATACGGTGGTTGAAAATCTTTTGATCCGGCTTATTATGTCTTTGTGCAGAGTGCGCACCGAAAGGCATTGGACGTCCTGAATACGGTAGGGATATCAAACAGAGTTCTGAGATTTATTGAGAGACGAAACCGAGTTGATCAATGGATCAAATATGCGGGAATGCTATTGACTGTTGTTTTCTTGCTTGCCTTTGTTTTGTGGAGACGATGACCAGGCAGATGTTGGAGAACTTTAATGTTTCTTGTGTATTTGTGAAAATTATATATGAAAGTAAGATTATCTCTTCTTCACAAAGTATATGTTGTTTTATTACTTCATACGTGAATTTAAGAACTACATTATTGTTTTCCTTGAAAATTGGAAAACAACCACTGATTTTCCAAATCTAACTTTGTTGACTCACAGGATCGATCAAATTGATCCTAAGACATGTGCTAAAAAGGTTCTGAATTTAGAAAATCTATTTAAGTTTTACACTTTGGCAATATTGTAGTAAAAGATTCTAAAAAGTATCTATTCGACTGTAAGAGAAAAAGAACATAAAGTTTTTAGAAAGAGAAAGATAAAGGCTTTAGAAAAGGATTGAGGACGAGGATGAAGGAAAATGCATAGAAAGAAGGTAATTGCAAGAAAGGTAAAGAAAACTTCGTAAAGTTAAACAAGTAAAATAAACTTCATTGGAAAGTAAAAGATGATGTGTTTATATCACGTACATTCTCTTTGGTATTCTATTTCTTTACACTCGGATACTTGGAGTAATTTTAAGAGTGACTTGTACAAAAGTAAATTACAACACTTGGATTCTATGTTTAAGATTCTTATTTATAATAGTAAAAAATAACTACCAATAACCTCTTACATCATCATCTTCCGACACTTGTCGTGATGCATGGGTACGTCGCCCACAGGGTGCCACGTGTCCTTCTCAATCATCCAGTGAGCGAAACCACTTCCTCCAATTCATTTGAATTTCAAATCTTTAGGATAACTGCCTAGCAATGTCACGGTCGAAGCCTTGAAGTCTCACAATTTTCCTTAAGTCTTGCAAGTGTTTCGACTCCTCTTGCTCAAAAGGTCTTACACTTTTCGACCAACTCTCACCTCCAGCAAGATTCTAATACTTTCTCTTAAATATCTTAACTTGCAAGGGGTGTTGAATTTAGGAGCTAACAAATTGTCACTCAAAAAATGTCTTTTCGACCCCTATGTAGAAAAGCACATTTTTTTGACAGCATCCAATTTGATGCCGTTCACTTCAACTTACACGTGTCAACCAATATACTTTGGCCAACTAATGTCTGGGAAGATGAAAGGGGAAAAAAGAGAGGAAAGAAGGAAACAGAAAAGAACACGCAAGAAACTGCTCCGTCACCTTGAAACACGTTCCTGACATCATGGTCATCATGGCGGGTTTCTCGAAAATCACCAAAATCGCAGACCATCATCATTCTTTTAGAGCCTAGGGGATATAGGTTACAAATGCCACCCCTGTTTCTCCACCTTAGAACACACACGTGGCCCACTAACTCCAGCCACTTAAAAAAACTCTTGGTTTTCAATACTCCATATAAATAATTTCCTCAGGTATTATTTTAACATTTCCAACTCCCAGCAAACACTCTTGCGCTTTTTCAAATATCCTCTTTCTCCTAAGAACACTTCTGACTTCAACAATGGCTGAGCACCAGAAGAAAAAGACACAACCCAAAGGGCAATCTTCTACATCGGTTCTCCCTCCTTTCACCACCTTGAGCGGTCCTAAAGTAGTGAAGAATCAATAATTTATTCGTGAACCCCTGTTGGAGGAAAAACGCCATATCTACGAATCACAGGTAATCATCCCTGTTAATGTTGCAGGTAAACCCTTAGCAATGTACGACCCATTGCCTCCTTTAGGTCTTGATTATTCCAGTATCAGTGACTTCTTCCCTTCTTACAGACTAACGAAACCCTTAGGGCAAAAGGATTCTAGCAAGGTTCCCGCTGATGGTCCTGATAGTCTAGCTTCCTACGACGTAGACCTTAAGTACCTCCATGACGGAGCTAGGTTGTTTAGAGCCACCCCTTATTTTAAGGACTCCGAACTTTACCTCAACTGGTTAGAAAAAGTGGAAAAAGTGAAAGCCCAGGATTGGAAAGACACTGGTATCTATGACCTTATAATGATGTTGAAGGTCGGCCCTAATTATTGTCCCCTTATGCTGGCTTCCTCTTTGTATTTCTGGGACAACACCCATCACACTTTTCACCTTCCGTGTGGGATGATGACACCCACACTGTTTGATATAGCCGCCATCGTAGGGCTAAAATCTTATGGATTAGTTTACGACCCTGAAATCAATAGTCAAGATACTATAGGATTTGCAACTACAAAGCACACATATACGGCCTTCGTCCAACATTATCACAATAAGAACACTACTTCTATCGAAGCTGAGGAACATATAGCCTTCTTGGCCATGTGGTTGTCTCGCTGCGTATTCTGTACTAAATCTTTGCAGGTGGCACGCAAATATCTTGTTTTGGCGAACCAGCTACACCTGAAAAGAGGCATTTGTTTGAGCGAGATGATCCTGGCCAGTCTCTATGAAGCCTTAGGCGAAGGTGCTGGTAAGCTGAAGGACCCAGAAAGTCATGGCAACCTGCTAATGTCAGGTCCCTTCTGGCTACTTCAGTTGTGGCTCAATGCTACTTTCGAAAGTAGCCTTCTCAACAAAGGAGAAGTCGATGAGGGTCTGTCCTCTGTTTCTGAGAGACGGGTCGAATGGCCCCGCTTGGTTCAACTCACTCCAAGCGAAGAAGGACATACGCTTCGAGCCAACCTTTCAAACTTCATCCATATGTTCTCCAAACGTCACGAGTTCACCTCAAAAATGGCTCCATTCGCAGAAAGGAAGTACGATCCTGAGTGGTTCATCAGACCCTTCCCTTCTCCACTAAAGAAACATGAAGATGAATCGAAAATGATCTGGGATCGATTTCTCACACCTCAACTGTTAGTTCATAAACTCAATCTCGTCAGAGGACAAGCCACCTTGATAACCTACCAACCAAACTTGGTATCACGACAATTTGGGTTAATACAAACTTTACCCAAATGTTTGTATGATAAGAAATCACACGTTATACTCCCTCTCACCGTTGTTAACCCCCTGGACTGCTCAACACAACTGGCGCGCCATGCCCACAAATCTCTTCTTACACCTGTTTATTTTGAACCCTCTTACTTCTGCTCCCCAGATTTCTACAGCTGGTGGTCCAGACATTATGCCTCAGAGTTTCTTGATGTTTCGAGCTTTACTCGCTTGGTTGACCAAGCTTTCGTTGATGTGTAGGAGAAAATCAAGAAAGGTACATCTGCCCATATCAAAAAGATTCAAGCCTTCCAGAAGTACTTCGAAACTGCCTATCGACCAGATGATGTTAGTCGGACCATCCGTGAGGCTGCTGTCACTTTAAGGGAAATTTTTTCTAAGAAAATGGAAAATTTAAAGATTCCCTCATCTGTTCCTCGTGAGAAACGATATGAGGTTGCCTTTAAACTATTTCCTCCGAAAATCCATCGATTACCAACTGCTAGTTTTGGCGTGGCTCTTGCCCCTCCATTTCCAGATTGGTTCATCTGTGGAGATTCTATAAAAATCCTCCGACAGCAGTCGAAACCCAAAGCGCAATGGGTGGTTCCGGCTAAACATACACTCGATACTTTTAAAGGGCACCTTCATGTTAGTATCGAAGATGTTCGCATCGAATCCGACATTCTTGAAGGTTATCCCCCTTCGATTTGGACTTTTTAAACTGAGCTTTATTGTTACTAACTGGTAGTGGTATGATTTATTTTGCAAGTGCCCCTAAAAGAACTGCTCCAGCACCAAAGATCGAAGGCAGGGTCGAAGACCAAAAGGTAATCTCCTGCAAGCCTTTGTTAGCTTGTCTTCCTTAATTTCTCCTAACATCTCACGTTGTCTCAGGTTAGCCGTAAACCATCTACTCCTCAAAAGAAGCTCAAAAGGTCTTCTGCCCCGATCATCATTGATTCAGACGAATCCCCTCGTGAGAATGCCCAAATAAAGAGAAGGCTAAAAGTTACCCATGGCCTATATACCCCTGATGTTCCATCTGCTCCCTAGATAGTCAACACTCCCAAGTTGAACACTCCCCCTCAAGATCCCGCTAAGGCTCCCGCAGAAGATGCCTTGATTGCGCATCTTGTTCCTATCGAAAGCGATAACTCAAGTCCTGCTGATGAAAACGTTAAGGTATAATGTACATTTAACTGCTTTCTTTTGGAACCTGATCTGTTTTTGTCTTACTCTTTCTTATGTTTGTTTCTTCGTCTAGGCTGATGCTGGAGGGTTGGAAACTGCTCCAACCAAGTGTCCTTCGCCAACCTTTCCCTTGAACAGCCAAGGTGAGCCCACTTACCATCCTACCTCTGATTTGGGCTCTGGTATGAGTTCTCTTGGCGAGATTAACAAACCTAAGTTTACCACAGTTCCTCCTTCACCTACAAATAGAACGACCCAACAGTCTCAAACCGATGGATCCGACCATGAAGAAGACAATGTTTAAGCTAATCCTGTCGTAGCAGATGGTGAAGAATCTCCTATGGAGGAGGATGCAAACTTTGTTGACACAAACAACTCTCCTTTAGATCAAACGATGGCCGCTGATGAAAAGGACGCAAAGGAAGATGATGCCGTCGAAGACAAGACCATGCATCAGTCAGAACTGGATGAGTCTAGCAACGAGGGAACTGAAAATGAAATGGAAGGAGATGCCACAGAGGAAGGTAAAAGCAAAGAAACAAAACCTGAGGAACACCCTGTTGATGAACCTACCCCTGTTGAGATGGTTAAAACTACTACTGCTACTGTTCTCAAGGAAAGTGAAGTAGGGCCCCTCAAAGGTGAGACCAATCTTACCACAGCAGAACTTGATGCCTTGAAGGTCTCCAACCCCCGACAGTACATCAAACTCCTCTTGAGTAAACGAAGTAGTTCTTCTGGCAAAACCCCCGCACTTCGACCTCTGAAGGCCAAGTCACGAGCCAACCAACTGATAGCATTCTTGAGAAGATCAAGGGAAAGATCTTCAAATGGGATCTTTTCTCCCTTTTGCAAATGGGCCCAGTCAACCACCTATCCTTGAAGGCTCTCCTACAGCAAGTGGATCTCAACTTGATTTCCCTTGAGGTCGCGAGCGTCATC